ATATACAATGACTACAGCAGATTACAGTAAATGTATACATTTACTGAGTTAACACTTTGATTGTGATATAAAAAAATAAAATGATTTTGGTTTGGACTAGGAATTACACGAACAAAAAATGATGAGTTCTTAGAATTAGGCTTAAATACTTAATGAAAGATTAATTAGCAAATTTGTATGTACGTATGAGACTGATGTAATAATATAGAGTGATGCGTCAATCTGTTGTGAGATTCTTTAACACGATTGGTTTATATATTTAGATCCAGTGAAAAACTGACAAACTGAAAAGGCGAGATCAACATTAAAGAATTTTACAACAGTTGCAAAATTGTTTCTTCTGCTAAACTCAGCCAATGGTTATGTTCAGCAAAAAAAAAGTAGCTTTGCAACTGTTGGAAGATTTTTTTAATATGATTGGTTTTTGTCATTGATCTTCACAAATCTAAATATACAAATCAATTATATTAATTTTACAACAGGTGCAAAGCCGCTGTTCTTCAGTACCATGAAGCCAATAACATATAAAACCATATTTGTATATAAATCCTACTAAATCGGCAAAGTAAACGCCTTTAGGATCACTATAAAAGATGTTATTGGTACCAGCAAATAAAATATTGTCTTTAAATTATATCATATTAATAATGTAGATCTGATCCGATGGAAAATACGCCAATTTTTCCATGAAAATAAGTTACCTATTAACACTAACAAATATACATAGCACTATACATTAGTATGTACTTCCTGATTGGCCGTCATTGAATAAAGAGTATAAGAAGCATCCTTCTGTGGTGGACGTTGCAACGGATGTGCTAAGAGCTTCGCCATATTATCATGTATTTTAGCAGCGTTCCTACCTACTTCGAAGATATAAGAGAAATTCGTTGTGTCTAAAGCCGCGATTTCGGCGTACACAGCCTCGCACATATTGTCATCGCTAGGTGGTTCGTGGGCGAACAGCACATCCAAGAAGAAGTATGGGTTCTCCGTTAGATTCTCTAGATACTTCTGTCCAGTGTGGAACTTCGGGACGGAATTTGATCGTCCATATATGAAGATGACACGTGAGGTGAACATCGGTTGACTCCTCCCTGGCGTTGCTATCCGAGAGTATATCACCTCAAATAGCAACCCCAAATCATAGGTCTTTTGCTCCTCTTTTGGTACATCTTCTGTGATACTTTCCAGATGATTGATAATAATCTTTGTATTACTGGTGTAATCACAGAGCCAGGAAGCACTGTGTGAATCCAGACTCATCAGCGCGTACTCATGTACCCCAGGCTGTATAGTGGACTTTGCGCCAATAAAGTTCTCTACCACACGTTTTATCATGAATAGAGGTAGGTATGTCGCACCCGTACCTAGTTTGAAAGGCGTGCATTGCTGTTCCCTCACTGTGTCGATAACAAATAGAATCTTCTCAGGCAAATTGAGCTCAGGTACGTTTCTTATAAAAACGTACTCCTCCGCAGTAGCTGTAGTAGTAGCGGCATCAGGCCTTTTGCTATCTGCAGGACGACGTACTACCCCGTTATTGTTGCTTTTCCGTGAACTCTTTGCCTGTTGTTGCTGCTGTTGCGGAATATTGTTGTACGTTGGCTCGATGGTCGTAACGTTATGCAGTTTTTCGGCTATTACTTGGATCTCATCATTCGTCTCCTTGTCTGACATGTTTATACCTTATAAGTATCCAAGGATGAATCTAACCTCTTCGCACCACTCGAGATGTAGCCTTGCCTTGACAAATATCTCGAAGGCACTTTGAAATAATTCGAAAACTTCACATAGCGCGTAGATTTTGCGCAATATTATACGGATAATTTAAAATCTAATTGTGTGCCTGACAATTCCTGATAATGTCAAACAAATCCTGAAGTTGAAAGTGCCCTGGACCTACTCTGATGATCTATCCATTTATCTATTCGTCAGATTCTTGAATTGGAATTGTTCGTAATCGCGCGGAATATTACTTCGGTACATTTTCATGAACTGTTTAAATCAGCTGTTTTAGCGACAAAAATGATCACGTGATCGAAATTAACACTTGATATTCGTCAATTTTGATCACGTGATCTTTTGTCGTTGAAACGGCCGGTTGATGCGGCTCGTGAAAATGTACCTTGATTTACAACTTCAAGGTCTTCAAGTGTGTACACTTTCATGTGGTTTACCACGAGGATATTAATTTCGCGTCTACGATTTTTAATATAGTCACGATATATTCCATAACTCGAGAAAATGTCCGTGCCCGAAAAAATATTGATGCGAAAAATTAAAAAACGGGAAAAGACGAAATTAAACGTACTGAAACGTCGAGAAGAACAGAAAGGTAAGAGCATGCGAACTTTGAGGTTAGATCTCATGGAAAAAAGATAGGCTGATATAATTATCTTTCTAAAATGTGTACAATTTTAATTATTCAGGAAATTTTAATTATTCATAGAATATATCTACATATATATAAAATTGTCAATATATTAAAGTCAATGGATTTTTACTTTTATTTTAATACTCTGTGACAAAAATGATCATATTATTTATTTTTATTTAATTAAAATTTATTTAATTAAAACTTGTTTCTTACACAGATACAGATGAATCAGTGAAAGCAACTGAAACAGACCAAGATCGCATAGAAGATATTCCTCTAGAAAGTAATAATTTATTTTAATCTTTTTATAACAATTTTTTATTATATAAACATTGATATTTTTTCAACAAAAGTTTTATTGAGAAATTAATGACAACATATGTTTTGTTAATTATTCTTATTTTTATTTTATTACATAATTATTAATAAAAATTTTATCTTTTTTAGAAAAAAGAAAGTTAAAAGCATCTGAAGAAAATGAAAAGTCTGATGTAATAAAGAAATCTTTGATTACTGAAAATTGTATGTATTTCTAGTATAACTAATTGTTAAATGATTGTACATTAATAATATTGGTATTGATTATATTTTATTTAGTACCTGGCACAGCTGTAGGTTTTGAAGTAACAAATGATACAAGCTTCTCAGTATTAAATGGAAAAGTATGTGAGAATACATTAAAAGCAATAAAGGATATGGGTTTTACAAATATGACAGAGATACAAGCGAAAGCTATTTCTCCTCTTTTGGAAGGAAGAGATTTGGTTGGTGCTGCCAAAACTGGATCTGGCAAAACTTTAGCGTTTTTGATTCCTGCTGTTGAATTGATTTACAAATTGAAGTTTATGCCTCGTAATGGTATGTAATCTCAATGGCTATAATTTGCATCAGAATGGCATTATGAAAAATTTTTTGTTTTATGAATAACTTGTAGATCTAGTACAACATAAAATGAAATATATTTGTGGAAATATATGTAGTCATCATTTTTTATGATGACTACTTTTTATATATTGTAATATTACTTTTTTAGTTTTGAATAATATAAAAATAAATGTTTAAAAAATTAATAATATAGTAAAACTTTAATGTTCTAATTATATAAAATCAATAGGAATGAGATATAATAAATAGATATTTGCAGGTACTGGATGTATTATTATGTCTCCTACAAGAGAATTAGCTATGCAAACTTTTGGAGTCTTGAAAGAATTGATGAAATATCATTATCACACATATGGTTTACTAATGGGCGGTGCTAGTAGACAAACTGAAGCACAAAAACTTGAAAAAGGAATCAATATTATTGTGGCAACACCGGGACGATTATTAGATCATTTGCAAAACACACTTGATTTCTTATATAAAAATCTCCAGTGTTTGATTATCGATGAGGCCGATCGTATTTTAGATATCGGTTATGAAGAAGAATTGAAGCAAATTATTAACATTCTTCCCAGTTAGTAATATTTTGCATATATAATTTGACTTTAATATTAAAGTCAAATTAGCTATGTATTTTTTTTTCTATTTATGAATTATTGTTGCAGAGCGCCGACAGACTATGCTTTTTAGTGCGACACAAACACAAAAAGTAGCAATGATAACAACGTTGGCTCTCAAAAAAGAACCTATATACGTGGGGGTCGACGATGACAAGGAAATGGCGACTGTGGAGGGTTTGCAACAAGGATACGTAACATGTCCGAGCGAGAAAAGATTTTTACTTCTGTTCACTTTCTTAAAGAAGAACAAACAAAAGAAAATAATGGTTTTCTTTAGTTCGTGCATGTCCGTTAAATATCATCATGAACTGTTGAATTATATCGATTTGCCAGTAATGAGTATTCATGTAAGTTATAAGATCTTTTTCTACACTGTTTTCTATATTGATAACAAGATTCTTTTCTGATTTAATATTCGCACTCTCATTGACAGGGTAAACAGAAACAAACGAAAAGAACTACAACCTTTTATCAATTTTGCAACGCTTCCACTGGGATTTTACTTTGCACTGATGTGGCCGCAAGAGGTCTAGATATACCGGACGTTGATTGGATCGTGCAATTTGATCCACCAGACGATCCTAAGGTAAGGATTGATATAATATTTTGCTTTGCGGATTATCATTAAGATAATTTCCAACGATAAACTTAGATTAGCAGTTAAACGGATTTGTAATATGTAATTGTGCGATTTTTAGGAATATATCCATCGTGTAGGTCGAACTGCTCGTGGAGAAGGCAGCAGTGGTCACGCTTTGCTGATATTGCGACCAGAGGAACTTGGTTTTCTTCGATATCTTAAGATAGCCCGTGTACCCGTGAACGAATATGAATTCTCTTGGAATAAAATTGCCGATATACAATTGCAAGTAAGCAATATATTTATTATAATCTTTTTCTAATTTGTTTTTAAAATTATTTTCTATGTCTTAGATCTTAGTTTAAGACCTTTGGACAGAATTTAAAAAATTTGAAAATCAATAAAATTTATATCATGTTCTGTCGAGAAACTATCAATTTCATCAATTTAACAAACATATCTGTTCTAGAGATGATATAAAATATTATTTTCTTTTTTTTAGCTTGAGAAGTTGATTTCGAAAAATTATTTCTTACATCAGTCAGCAAAAGAGGCATTTAAGAATTATGTTAGAGCATATGATTCTCATCATTTGAAACATGTTTTCGATATAGAGACCTTGGATTTGGCAAAAGTCGCCAAATCGTTCGGATTTGCTGTACCACCAGCGGTAGATTTGAGTAAGTCCTTTTAAAAAGTTGTTAACATTAAGCGCAAGTACTTTCATAAATTTAATATAAATAATTTCTCATTGGAAATTGTTAATAATTCATAAAAACGAAACAATTTAGTTTTTTAAATATTTTTTTGTTTTTAATATATTTGATCAAAATCAATTTAATATTTCTTTAACATATTCTGATTATCTTTTTATAAGCATTAATTTATCAAACCTGTTAAACAAAATTAAATTATATATAATTTATATAGAAATTTATATAGAAATTTGAAAACAATATAAATATTATTATTCAAACAGTCTACATCGTGTCAAATATCATTTTTTTAATTTAATTTTTTTATTGCACATTATAGAAGTAGGAATCAGTAAGGCTTCACGACCACGAAAAAGACTCGGTGGAGGTGGTTATGGACACTTCAAAAACATAAACGATTCAAGTTCAGCAAAACAAGTGAAGCGTACCAAGACCTTCCGCCAAGTAGGCAAACGTAGACAAGATAACCGACAATTCAGCAGATAATGGTCATTCATATACTTTTTACACGCATAAATGATGAATAGCGTTTAATTATAACGCATAGTTAATTATTATTATCTTATAGGTATTATTGTACAGTTTATATGTTTAACATAATAAGTAAAAGTATCTGTTTAAATGTATAAGTCTTATTATTATAGCTACATATTGGATTGTGTGTTACATAAGTTTGTTCGATTTTATTAGTTTAAAATATTGTATATACAATATTTTTGTTAAAAATGAATGGAATTTAAAGTAAAAACAAAGGTTTTAAAGAGACTTGAAATCTATTTAAGTTACTATATTTTTTGAATATGTAAGTTTGGTTTTTACACAGAGAAATATCCCACTTTGTGAGAACTTTGTAGGGACTGCCTGTCATGTGCCCAAAAAATTGCCCAATAAATTTGCTCTATCGAATAGTGTAATTGTCAATTTTTTTAGAAAATAGAAAATATAAAATAATTTTATTTTGTCCTACAAAACCGAACGAATTTATGCAACAACTCAATAAATTGAGAACAACAAAATATATTTTACCTTTAAAATTTTATTTGTAGAATACTGAAAAATTACATTTTGATAAAGCGATTCTAGTATTGCAATTATTGACATTACTAACAAATCTTAGCAAACTTTTAATATATTTATGTATGTAAATGTTCCTTTAACTTCTGTATGGAATATAGGGCCTCTGTGAGGTTTCAATAACAAACGATACTGATAATCAAAGAAAAAATTGCATATATTGGGCGTAGATGGGATTGAATCCAAATCTACAATCGCACTGAGCGGCAAACTACTTGACTACGCCTTCAGCAAATTTAATGTCTGTATAATTCGTCTAATGAAATATGTAAAAAATACATATTATTTACATTGAGCAAACATTTAACTCTGATTTCTACATATTTTTTATATAAAATAATTATAAATAAAAAATTGATATGTTTGAGATTTTGATTTACATCATCTCTTATCTAATTGTTCTTTTGATAATTTGCTGTTTCTAGGAATTAAAATTTCAGCTATTTATATTTGCAATAGATTTAACTAATTTAAAATTCTATAAATTCTATAAATTTTTTGTCTCTCAAAAGCGAATATTTTTAATATTTTTATTCTTTTCTAATATTATTATATGTATAATATTAATAATATTATTATTCTTTTCTCTCCATTTAATCACAAAACATTTTATTGACTTTTGAAAGTTTGAATTTTGCGCTTCATAAAATATCGACATATTACCAACATTCAACAAATAACTATAGTGAAATCAAATCATGCAAATAAAAATTTCAGTTGGTAATTCCAGTCGATGCTATCTATGGTTCAATTGTACGGTTTCGCGCCTTTCGGACGAGTACTGACTGTTGATCGCAGATTGTTGTGATTTCAATAGTTTAATAATCTATTCATGTATCGAAATAAACCTGTGAAGGGATTCATATCCCCTTTGATCGTTCAACAACAAACGAACACCGAGGAATGTAGTGAAAATGAGATATCCGCGTGTCAGGAAAAAGCGCCAAGCGATTTAGTGAAAAAGTCTATCCGGAGCAACTCTCAAGTGTTGCATTTGTTCAAAAATGTAACTCAAAAAGATGAGATTGGATGCGGTAATATCGAGAACGTGGAAAATAATTCATCGAGGAAACGAAATGCTAATTCTCCACTATGCGAAAAGAAAATATCGATCACTGATTCCTCCCAAACAGTAACAAAAATGTAAGTGTATACTCTAAATGAATGTTAAAAGATCTACATCTCGATTTTACTTGTTGTAAATAAATATTTATATTTCTTATAGTGTTTTTAACGTGGTGTACAGCAAGGTAACTTCGAAAAAACACAAAACATGGGATGATGATGGTTTACTAGAAGTAACTGGAAAAAATGCAATTCTTAAGGTAATTCAAGACATCTATAAAGCTTCAATCATTAAATAATTGTATTAATAAATCATTAAATGATTATAAGGATTGTTTATTAAATGCTTCTGATACATATTATAGAATTCAGATGGTATTATTATAGGAAGAACTACAATTAGTCCAAATAATATGGCAGAAGGCTGTAAATTAATTATAGGAAGCAAACAAGTAGAGGTAAGTTGTATTAACTTTTATTTATGCAATATTTATAGAAAAACTAACAAAGTTTTAGATTATAGATAAAGTGTCGACAGAGCAATCTATATCACAGAAGAGTCCTGAAATAGAGGAACCATTACAAAAAAAACTTAAAACATCCACTATATGTGCATTTCAGTCACCAAAGAAAAATAAAAATGCTACAGCTTGTGAGAAAAAAGCAACTGAAAATTCACCCGAGGCAAAAACAAAAATGTAACTATTTTTAAGTAAATTTTAAATTATTAATTTTTATCTCTATAAATAAATATCAATACAATAGGTTCAATGTGATGGTCAGTAAAGTAACTTCGAAGAAACATAAAACATGGGACAGCGATGGTTTGTTAGAAATTGTCGGGAAAAACGCTATTCTTAAGGTAATTATGCATCAACTGAAACTTTTATGATTTATGATTTGAAAATTAATGTATAAAACTTTTGATATAATAGGATTTGGATGATAATGTTATTGGAAGAACTACAATTAATCCAAGTAATGCAGTAGAAGGAACCAGATTAATTATAGGGAACAAACAAGTAGAGGTAAAGTTTGCATTAATCTTTATTTATGCATTATTATTGGCAGAAAAATTAATAAAGTTGATTTTAGATTATAGAGCAACTGTCACAAGAACTATCTTCTTCAGAGAAGAATCTTAAGAAAATAGTAGAGGAATTATCAAAGAATAAGTTTAAAGCGTCTTCCGCACATACATTTATGCCCTTGTTTTCATCCACAAAAGGTACAAATTTATAATATATCAATTATTAATTACATTATAATCATTGATTTAAATAAATAAATAAATATATTACAAAGGATTAGCATTAAATAGTGAACCTTTAGTGATGCCTTATTTGAATTCTACTGAATCGATGAATCAAGAAGAACAGGAAATCTTGGTTGATTCCTGTTTAGTAGCAAAACTTAGAGAGCATCAACGCCATGGAATTGTGTTTCTTTATGAATGTTTAATGGGACTAAAAGTACCAAATTATTTTGGTGCAATCTTGGCTGATGAAATGGGTCTTGGTAAAACCTTACAATGTATCACATTAATTTGGACAATGTTGAAGAAAGGCCCATATGGCAAACCGATTATAAAACGAGTATTAATAGTAACACCTAGTAGCTTGTGTAACAATTGGGAAAAGGAATTTGTAAAATGGTTAGGCTGTCACAGAATACTTCCATATGTTATAAGTGGAAAAAATAAGCCTAAAGATTTTATAAAATATCCAAGAAATTCGGTCATGATTATTAGTTATGAAATGTTCATTAAATGTACAGAAATTAATGAAATAGCCTTCGATTTGATTGTGTGTGATGAAGGCCACAGATTAAAAAATAGCAATATTAAAGCAGCAAAAGTAATTATCTATTTGATTTATAATCATTATTAATAATATTATTATTTATTATTAATGCCAATATAAATATTTGTTATTTTACTTATCTTGCAGATGTTAAACGAGATAAATTGTAAGAAACGAATTGTTCTAACGGGTACGCCCATACAAAATGATTTGAAAGAATTTTATGCACTGATCGATTTTGTTAATCCTGGCATTCTTGGCACATCTAATGAATACAAGAGTTATTACGAGGAACCTATTGTCGCAGCGCAGTGTTCTTCTGCCGATGATGATATTCTTAGTCTGGGAAATGAAAGATCCGCAGAATTATATAAACGCACCAAATCTTTCATTTTAAGACGTTCGCAAAAAGCGATAAACAAATATCTACCATCTAAATATGAAGTAGTCTTATTTTGCTCTTTAACTAAGAAACAAAAAGATTTATATTCTCTTATTATTGATGCTTGGTTCAACAAAATTTGTCTAGAAGACAAAAGTAACATACATTTATCTATCATTACTGCTCTTAAAAAAATTTGCAATCATCCAAATCTGTTCCTAAATGAAGAAGAGAAAGCATATGACATTTTGTCAAAAGTATATATATCGCAAATAAAACGAGATGAAAATTTTACAGAGTATTGTGGAAAAATCACAATTGTACAGACATTAATGAGAAATTTGAAAAAGACTGACGAGAAGTTGGTGTTAGTTTCCTATTACACACAGACTCTTGATCTCCTTGAAACTATATGCAACATGGAAAGATTAAAATTCTTAAGATTAGATGGTGCTACTTCAAGTACTATACGATTGAAAATTATCGAACAATTTAATACGCAAACCGATAATAGCAGTAAGTTCTGTAAAAATGAAGAGATATAATTGTCTTGTGCTTATAGTACATTTTATGAATTAAAATGGATGTATTACAGAAAAATAATTCTTACAGAAGTTCTATTGCTAAGTGCAAAAGCAGGTGGTGTTGGCTTGAATTTACCTGGAGCATCTAGACTTGTTTTATTTGATTCTGATTGGAATCCTGCATCTGATATGCAAGCAATGGCAAGGATTTGGAGAGATGGACAAAAGAGGAATGTCTACATTTATAGGTGTATACAAGTTTAATATCATTACATGATAATTTAATAGAAGTATATATTTAATAGAAGTAATTTTGTATAAACCAATTTGTAGATTATTAACTACAGGTACGATAGAAGAAAAAATATATCAAAGACAAATTAGCAAAGCCAATCTGAGTGAGACTGTAGTGGATCTGAATTACCTTGGATCTCTAAAATTATCTACTGCAGAGCTAAAGGTATTTTTTATAAAGATTTCGATAATTACGAAAAAATATTACAAAAATCATTACTTAAAATATTCTCATTTTTAGGATTTATTTACGTTGGCAAGTGATACAATTTCGTTAACACATGATTTAATGAATTGTTCTTGTTCTGGTAAGAATGAACATATACTTTCCAAAGAATTAAAAGAAAAAAATAATGAGACACGAGACTGTCAATTTATACTGTATGAGAAACCATCTCAGCAAAATTTAACTATAAATCAGCTTCGAGATTGGCAGCATTACAAACAGCCAATTCCATCCGACATTATGCAGGTAATAAACTGTTTAGTTTGATGATGATTAAAAATTGAAATTCAATAATTTAATGTTCGTAAATACATTTACTTTACAGGATATTATGTTAACAGAAGTAAGTGATAATATAACATTCATATTTAAAAATTCTTCAATGTAAAAAATATTTTTAAAAATATATAAAAAAAATAAAAATATTAAAAATTAAAAAATTAATTGTTATAAGAAATTAGTTATTATAAAACTATATTTTATATATAATGTACAT